AGAAGCGTCTTGAGAGTTAAAAATAAATCTGCCCTACAACCCAGCAATTGCACTGCTGGGGATTTACCCCAAAGATACAGATGCAGTGAAACGCTGGAACACCTACACCCTAATGTTTACAGCAGCAACATCCACAATAGCCAAACTGTGGAAGGAGGCTCGGTGTCCATCAAAAGATGAATGGATAAAGAAGCTGTGGTCTATGTATACAATGGAATATTCCTCAGCCATTAGAAACGACAAATACCCACCATTTGCTTCGAGGTGGATAGAACTGGAAGGTATTATGCTGAGTGAAATAAGTCAATCAGGGAAGGACAAACATTATATGGTATCATTCATTTGAGGAATATAAAAAATAGTGAAAGGGAATAAAGAGGAAAGGAGAGAAAATGAATGAAAATATCAGTGAGGGAGACAGAACATGAGAGACTCCTAACTCTGGGAAATGAACAAGGGGTGGTGGAAAGGGAGGTGGGCAGGGGGTGGGGGTGACTGGGTGACAGGCACTGAGGGGGGCACTTGACGGGATGAGCACTGGGTGATATGCTATATGTTGGCAAATTGAACTCCAATTTAAAAAAATAATAAAAGAAGTGTCTTAAAAAGAAAAAAGAAGTGTCTTGAAGAGGGAGGGAGAAGAGGAGCCAAGCTTTCTGCAAGATAGGAGGTATGGGGAAAAGCATTGTGTGAAGAGGTTAAAGATTTCAGGTAATCTCTATACTGTGGAATTCCAATGGCACAAGGGAAACAGCTAAAAGTAGGGCAGGCGTCAGCTCAATATGGCACTGCAAGCCCAAATGAATTGTTGCAGCCCTGAATGCCCACTCAGAAGTGGCCTTGAGAGACAGTAGTGAGGGGAAATCCTCCCAAAAAGCAGGACTTCTGGCACTGTACATGGTCATCCACTTCGTGTGAAAAAAGAAATAGCCTGGTGTTAAAATAGAGATTCACGGACAGTGGTAAATGGCTTAATTTATCGATCAGGAGCCTCGAATGAGTAAGATTAGAAGCTTGGGGGCAGGGAAGTATGCAGAAGAGGTGTGTGTATGGACCTATGGGAATCAGAAAATGCGAAGGTCTTTGTGTCATAACACCCATGAGAGAACATCCATCATGGAAGAGACACTACAACACAAAGTGAAAGAAAATGACTAAGCCAGCTAGGGTCAACTAGTCTCTCTCCTTGGCCATCACAAAACAGGGACAACAAGGTTATAAATGTAGTAGCTATGGCAGCAGTGGTGGAGGCTATACCTGGGTACAACAGTGTGGGCTCCCACTCATCAAGACTGATTGCTGCCAACCAAGGCTACGGTTGCTGCAAACAGCCCAATGCTGAGACTCCGATTTGGGACCATCCCTAGAGGAAATCAATCAGCCACTTCTTGGCATGTTAATTACATTGGGTTCCCTCCAAACCAAACATGGAAAGGGCTTGATTCATTTCTTAGGAATTGATAAATATTCTGGGTGTGGCTTGGACTTTTTTGACTGCAAAGCCTACTCTCCAAGAGTTCACATAGTGTCTGGTCCATCAGCATTAGATCCTGCGTAGAATCACTAGGGATCACGGGACCCATTTTATAACAAAAGTATCTGGACATATGACCTAGGGATCCACTGGTACTATCATATGCCACACCATCCTGAAACCACCATCTGATGGATCAATGGAAAAGCCCTTTGAAAACATAGCTAAGGTATCAACTCAGAGATGACACCCTGCAGCCTGGGGCACTAGCCTTCAGCATGTGGTATTATACATTTTAAGTCAATGACAATAATATGGTACTGTGTCCCCAAGAGGTAAAATACATGCATCCAGGAACTAAGGGACGGAAGTAGGAGTATCCATGCTTATCATTACTGTCAGTGAATCATTCAGGAAATTCCTGTTCTCATACCTCTAGACTCTGAGTTTCTAGAGGTCACGGTTTCCAGAAACAGAATGCTTCTACCACAGTACACACACACACACACACACACACACACCTAGTAAACTAAGCTACACCTGCTCTCTACCATGGCCAAGAGACCTGGAGACTAAATAATAAATAAATAAATAAATAAATAAATAAATAAATAAATAAATAAATAAATAAAATTTTTAAATTCATTCAAGGCACTTGACTGGCTCAGTCAAAGCATGTGACTGTTGATCTCGGGGTTGTGAGTCCAAGCCCCACGCTAAGCATAAAGCTTACTTAAAAAAAAAAAAAAAAGACTCACTCTCCCAGCAGAAGAAATCTCTCCTTAGCATCAGGAGGAGTCAGGGCTTCAGAGAGCAGAAAGATTGCATCCGAAACCCAAGGGTTCACAGCCTTAAAAGGCCATGAGACCAGACTCTTGGAGCTCAGACTCCTCAAGCTATGTCTTCCCCTAGCAGAAGCGCTAGCTGAGGCTGGGAGCAATCCAGAATGGGTAACAAAGGAGGGAGATGACTGCCAGGTGGAGCTCCAGAACGTCTCTATAGTGGGACCATAACAAGCCCCATTAACTTTCCATTTACAAACTTCTCTGGGAAGAGATCAAGCAGGTCCTAGGTCTCTGGGAAGAGATCAAGCAGGATCCAAGCTGTTTAAGGGTAGGCTGAAAAAGGGGATCCCTGGGTGGCTCAGTGGTTTGGCACCTGCCTTTGGCCCAGGGCACAATCCTGGAGTCCCGGGATCAAGTCCTGCGTCGGGCTCCTTACCTGGAGCCTGCTTCTCCCTCTGCCTGTCTCTCTCTCTCTCTATCATGAATAAATAAATAAATCTTAAAAAAAAAAAAAAGGATAAGGCTGAAATGATTATACAGCAAGTGGACCCGAGGAGCAAGGAGTGAATAGCATGGGTGCCACATGGTACTGCCCAGGTGTCCCCTTGAAGACTGCTCACCACTGCTGGGGCGTTTTGTTCCCTGGCAGCTCTCAGCTGAGCTCTTTCACAGGCATTGTTCTCAGCAGAAGCAGCTGCCTTGCCCAAGTCCTTACCCCCTTTCTGGGAACAATTCACATCCAAGGCTAGATGATGTGCCAGTTACCTCCATTCAGGACCGTCCTGAGAGGTTCACCCAGCCTGAGAATTCCCCGTGGGATTGGCCAAGCTCTCTCTTGCTACCCTTAATTCACTTCCCCCACAACCCCTAATCCTGCTTCCTTCTTTTCCATGCTGTTCCTACACCCCCTTGTTGGGCCTTCTGCAAACAAATCTCGAAGTTTGTTTCCCAGAGAACCCAAATGATGAGAGCACCCATTCAGAGATAAGAAGGTAACCCCCAGTAGAAACCAGTTCACATATTTAAAAGTGGTTTTCTCTAGAGAGAGGAATAGGGCTGAGGCAAGGTGGGGCAGGAGACTATTGTTACATACCCTTCTGTGCTCGTCCTTTTTTTTAACACGCAGGTATTAATTCTATCATTAAAACCTCTTTTCTCTTAAACTTTTTTAGAGAATTTGATCTGTCGCTCTCCTGTTTTGAATATTTCCATTGCTTCCCATTGCATTTAGAATAATCCTTGAGAATTGTTCATATGGCTTATAAATCCCTCCCTGTCTGGTCCCTGCTTAGTTTCCTACCTCACTCTCTCAGTTAGCTGCCTTCTGGATTTCTGGTTTCTCAGATGGGCCTCTGTTCCTATCCCAGGCTTCAAACATCCCTACTCTGTCTGGACTATTTTAGCCATCCTCTCCTCTACCTGGTTCACTCCTATTCCATCCATCAGATTTCCACCAGGATGTCACTTTCTCAGGAAGACCTTCACTGCCTCTCAAATTATATCGCTCCCACCTTTAACATTCTCATAGCACCTATACACCCTCTTTCTTAGTATCAGTCTCCTGAAATCATCCACAAGGGATGTCCACAAGGGCTGTCTTGCTATATCTGTCATTACTACTACCCAAAGCACAACTACAGCATAATAAATATTATATATTTACTGAGTTTTGCCAAAATGCTTTCTAGAGTCTCAATTCTGTACTCAACAAGTTAGGTAACCTGTCTGAACTCCAGTTTTCTCCAGTATAAGATGGGGATAAAAAATAATACCTACCTTGAATGGTTATTTTGAAGATTATATGAGGTATGTTGGCAAAGCCCTGAGCACAGTGTCTGGCATATAGTAAGCATTTGACTAATGTGTCTTAAAAATAAAAAAAGTTTGTATCAATATACATTCACATCAGCAGATTTTAAGACTGTCACCCTCTACCTCTTTTATTTTTTAAAAATATTTTAAAATATTTTTGTAAATATATATATTATTTGTAAAATAATAAATGCAAAAAAAAATAGGAGGATCTCATCTCATGGCTTTAAGCCGACATGTATTTTCAAGCCAAGAGGCTTTGTTAATGAGATGTCTACACCTTACTAGTCCACAACAGGCACACCATAAAGAAAGCAAGGGTGGCACCTGGCTGGCTCCGTCCATGAAGCATGCAACTCTTGATCTCAGGGTTGTATGTTTGAGCCCCACACTGGGTATAGAGATTACTTAAAAATACGATCTTTAGGGGTGCCTGGGTGGCTCAGTCCATTAAGCATTTGCCTTGGGCTCAGGTCATGAACCTGGCATCCTGGGTTGGAGACCCCTGGCAGCTGCCTCCCTGCTCAGCTGGGAGCCTGGGTCTCCCTCTCACTCTCTCCCTCCCCCCTCCCTCTTGCACTCTCTCACTGTCTCAAATAAATAAATAAAATTAAATCTTAAAAAAAAAAGAGCAAATATTCAGTGCTCCCTTCCTTGTCATAGCTTATTTGGAGAGAGGGGGTGTTTGAGAAAGGAGACCCAACATGGTGTTATTATTGTACAAGATCCCCTGCACAGTTAAATTGCAGGTACTTCTCATCTTCCCTTCAGGTTTTGCCACAGCCCCCTTGCTTGTGCTATGGGAGGATATGGGGCCCATCTCTCCCCAGCCAACCCAGGTGGCTGCCCCTGCCTTGAACGTTTTCAAGTGACGCAGTACCCTGACAGACCCAGAGGCCCCTCCACACTTCCTGTGTGGGGTTCAGAAACTCGCATCACCTCCCAGCCTTAGGTGCCTACTTCGGAAAATGGTGAGTCTCCCTCTAACAGGTCCCCTTTTTCAACCTGGTGTTGAGAACAATGACCTCAGGGTCTTCACCTTCAGCAGGGGTTTTGAGAAAGTCCTCCGGTTTCTTTTTCAGAAGTAATAAGCCACCCGCCTCCGCCATTTTGGGTAGAATAAGGGTGCATCCAGTGAGAGAAGGATGCAGTCGGGGAACCTCTGGAGAATTCTGGGACTCTGTCTCTTATCAGGTAAGTAGGGTAAAATGAGAAAAGGTGGTATTTCTCCAGACTATGGGGAGGCCTAGTGTTACCAAGGAGCCTCATTTACCAGACGATGTAAGGAACATTTTGTCCTACATCAGGGCAAAGATCTAAGACTGCAGGGTATGGAGAAAGATTTGCTCTGGTTGTACAGGAAACTATTCAGGGAACAGCCAAAGAAAAGCATTTGGGATCATAGCTTTTCAGAGCAGAGAAGTCTCTCTGCCTCCAAAAACAAGCTCGGTCATCAGTGAACTACCCAGCCTTTAAAAACTAACACAAAAGATATTAGAAGAGCTTATCTCCACTCCTTATCATGAGGAAAGCAGAGAGTTGAACCCAAACGGTGCAGGGTATAACAGGGTTGACCTCTGAAACAATAGGCACATAGTAACTTCCAGCCCCTTTCTGTAGACTAAGAGCTTTCCATTAATTTAGTCCTTTTTGAAGCAAGGGAGAATATAAGTTGATAAATAACCAAAAGCAATTCCACATCTCATAGGAGATAAGATTTTTTTAACAAGTTGCCATTTATTAAGTGCCAGAAACTGTATAAAGAAAAAATCCAAAAAAAAAAGAAAGAAAGAAAGAAAAAATTCTTTACGTGTGTCAAATAATTTAATTCTTACCTCCATCTTGGAAGGTAAAAGTTATATCCCTTATTTTACAGACAAAGAAACTGATATGCAAATATGTTAAATAACTTGTTTAAAGTTACACAGATAGTAAGTGCTAAAGCCGACCTGAGGAATAGGACGGTCTGTCTACAAGGCCTATGCCCTTCATGGCTACTTGGTGTAAAATGGCTCACGATGGTTTTAGTTCAGAGACCTAGAAAATGCTAACATAGCTGGGGCTCCGAACTCAGAGCCACAACCATCATGTCTCCATTTCCTGCTTCGCTGTTGAGTTTCTCAGGCTTGAATGCTCACACACATCACCTGGGATTCTGCAGCGTCTGCTTCAGTAGGATTGGAATGGAGATTGCAATTCTTCATTTCTAATAAACTCTTGGGCTTCTAAGTCTGCAACTGGTCCAAGGAACACATTTTGAGTGTCAAGGGGCAGGGTGTGGCTCCTGCAAGGAGGGGTTAGGCATTTTCTTAGAGGCTTATGATATAAACTAATCTTTCCCAGGTCAGAGGGGAAGGGAGAAAGAGAAAGACTCAAGCACCCCTAAAGATTTGGCATCCTGAGGGACTGTGCCCAGTCCGTTCTGGAAATGGATGAGCACGAGGCAGGTGGAAGGGTCTCACTCCATGTAGAGACTGTTGGTAAAAAGTGAGTTCCAGGTTTATGGAAAACTTTCAGGCAACATCAGGGAAACTAGTCATCATAATGAATCCAAGTTATTGCTGAGTGAGGAACCCAGTGGAAATGTGACCAGGCTCTTCAACACACAGGCTCTTAGATGGTGAGTAATGGGAGTTTCAAATATCTCCATCTCTGTAGCAAGCAGAAAACAATGGAAAAACTGAACAATCAGACAAGCCATAGCGAGAGATGGAACAAGAAAGTCAACATTTGTACCTAACGAAGAGCTTGTTTTTTTCCTCAGTTTGATTTTCAAAATGGAAGCTTGGCTACAAAAATTGTTTTGCTATTTCTCCAGTGGCCCAAAAAGTAGACTCAACTTTTTGTAACTCCTGTTTGTCAAATATTGAGTGTTCGTATTTAATGCCAAATGCTTCTTTGCTTTGTGTCACCCAAATTGACCAGGAACCCCTGGTCTATACCCAACAGTATGCATCACTTACCTGGGGGACAGGGATGAGTATGACCCTAGGGTGGTTGGGAAAGACATCTCATGTTCAGAAATGATCAGATCAGACCACGTCACTTTTTCTGCTTGGAATTTCAGGGACCCAGAATATTTACTAACTTTTTTTTTTGTATTTATTTTCTAGTTGGTGCTTGGGGGCAGGACGGTAAGTAAGATATGCTCTCTTTCCTTGTTATTAAATCAACCCTGCATTCTTTGTTTTTATGAGTGGAGTTTTCTCTAGACACCCCTGCCAACAACACACACACACACAAAACTTCCACAGAGACCCATTAAAGGAGTTTCTACCACCTTCTCCTTGGCCTTTTTCTGATCAATCTAGTGATAGTTCCAGCCAAGAAGAGGAAAGCAAGAGAGCACAGGAAATATGAGTCCTAACCATTTTCAAAAGAAAAAATTGAGACTGTTAAGTTGAATGTGCCAAAAGTTTTCATTTGTTTGAATTTCATATTTGATGTGGGATTTTGTAGAGGGCATGAACATATGCACGGGGATGTGGTGAATAAGCCTCTGGGGCATCATTTGGGTGCACATCTTGAATCACATGTCCAAATACCCTGAATATGTGTGTGCATGTGCATTCACGTGCACACACACACGTGAGTACGCCTGGCCTGGACTTATGTCCTGATCATAGCAGTGGAGTCAGGAGCATCCCAATTGGAACCCTTTCTATTCAATCAGCTCCTCTGAGCTTAGTGAACCAATTTTGTGTCTAAAGATGGCCACTGTGCTGTGCCTGCTTATATTCCATGACACTGAATCATTTGCAATATTTTAAGAATCCTTTCCCCCCCCCTTTTTTTTTACCATACAGCATGCTTTATTATTACTTTACTGACAGATGGAATATGTCAAAATTACTGAATATGCTTCAGAGTAATTAATCTCTTCTGCGTGCTACTGTCATTTAGAATTGATTATTCTTTATCATTGATTTATGTGCAATCCATATCTTCTTTTCTTTTTTCTCTAGCTTTGAGATATAATTGATGTATAACACAATGTAAGTTTAAGGTGTATGATATAATAATTGACATTGCAAAATTACTACTTAAGATCCATTTTTGTAAATTGCCGTCAGCTGTTTAACGCAGGATATAGGGCCCCAAACAGATTTTCCTATGCAGCCATAAGGAATTTGAAGATCCAATCATTTTTTCCTTTTTTCTAATTTAGAAAATGACATTTTAGTGCTTGCTTCAGCAGCACATATAGAAAATGACATTTTATTTTTTTATTTTTTAAGAAATCTCCATACTTAATGTGGGGCTCAAACTTAAAACCCCAAGGTCAAGAGTCACACGTTCCATCAACCGAGCCAGCCAGGCACCCCAGAAACTTACATTTTAATACGATAGAAAATTTGAAAGATAAATATAAACTTGTCCATAATAATTTCACCAGTCATAAACATTGCTGACAGGTTGACGCAGTTCCATGGTGCAGGGTTTTTTTCCTTTTTCTTTTTCTATTTTTATTTGACAAGAGTTGATACACAATGTTACATTAGTTTCAGAGGGTCCTAACCCAGGGGAATAGGTCTGTTCTTAGTAGCTGATACAAGCGTAACTAATAGTTGCTTATCATTTCCTTTTCAGAGGATATCAAAGCTTCTGGTAAGAGGATTTTCACTCTACACCACCTCTTTTCAAATGTGGAACCAAATGGTATTGAGGACAGTCATAGTAATAAACACTGAGAACCAGAACCACCAGAAGAAAAATACAATTTTCTGTCGGTAGGATCTGTAGATGTGCCGATGTCTGTTGCTGTCATGTATCCCTGAGAATGCATTCAGAGAAGAAAATACATGGGGTGGGAGCCGTCACTGAGTTTTTGTGTAAATCATAAGTTCATGGAAGGCACAGATGGTGTCTTACTTACCTGGCCCAGTGCCTGGCACATAGTAGGTATTTTTTGAATCAGTAAGTGATCACTAATTCCCTCTCTTTAAGAAGCTGATGGTCTTGTGTGTGAAAAATAACTGACAATACAGTTATGTTACGTGCTGTGCTATGGGTAAGTACAGGCTAAAGTAAAATACAAAAATAATAGTGGCCAACTGTACAGAAGATAGTTGGGGAAGCCTCCCCAGAGGTGATTCCTGAGCTGAGTTTTAAACGATGAGCTTTGGGGTACCAGGGTGGCTCAGTCAATTAAGCATCTGACTCTTGATTTTGGCTCAGGTCATGATGTCATGGTCATGAGATACAGCCCCATATCAGGCTCCGTGCTAAGCATGGAGCCTGCTTACGATTCTCTCTCTCCTTATCCCTCTGCCCCTTCCAGCTCACAAGTTCTAAAAATAATAAGAATAATAGTAATAATGATAATAATAAAGTTGAATTTGTATTTTAGGAAGCATATTTTAGGCAGAGGAGTTAAGGCTGTGTGGTGTGAGGTTAAGAAGCTAGATGGTTGGGGTGCCTGAGTGGCTTGGTCGGTTAAGTGTCTGCCTTCACCTCAAGCCATGAGGTGAAGGTCCTGGGATCGAGCCCCTCGTTGGGCTCCCTACTCAGTAGGGGAGTCTGCTTCTCCCCCTCTCTCTGGTCATGTTCTCTCTTTTGCTCACTCTCTCTCTCAAATAAATAAATAAAATCTTTAGAAAAAGAAAAAAGAAGCTAGATTGCCATATTTGAATCCTGGATTGATTTCTTATTTGACGAGTGCCTGAATAGTTTCCTTCACTCTTCTGTGCTATAGCATTATCATGTATAAAATGAAAATAATAAAGATACCTAGCTTGTAATGTTGTTATAAGGATAGAATAAGTAATTCACTTAGAACATCATCTGACATAGAGATGCAATGAGTGAATTTTAGTTGTCATTATTATATGGGAAGCATACAGACTAAATAATAAGTATTAACGTTTAGTGAACATGTGTGTTCTAGATATTGCCCTAAATATTTTACCTGAACTTCTCATTTAATTCTCCTAACGTCTCTATTCTACAGATAAAGAAACCAAAGTTTAGAAAACAAATAGTCCAAACACCAAGATAAATATAAATGCAGATTTAGCTGATACTGAAACTCATTTTCTTAACTACCATGAAACTTTGTTTCTGGATATGCACCAAATCTTTGTGAGCATTCAAACAATTTCTAGGCACAGATGTCTAGCCTATGATGCTAGGTCCTTTTCAGAGTTACATACATAAATCTAAGCTCTGCTACCATATCTGTGCCAATAAAACTCATGAACAATTTTCTTTACATTCTTTACATTTCTTTTTCAAACAAACATACCAACAGAACGAAATGTCTACTTGCTTTTAAGCTGTTTTCTTTATAATTTCTAGCTTATTTAACATTGCTAATAAATAGCAGTATTGAAAAATTATTTCTAAGTCAAAATAATATCAACCATCTATGTCATTCTATTCAGCTCCCAATTATTAGCAGATAGATAAATTGAAGAATGACTTGTTTATCATCCTGTATGATGTCAGCCAGAGAGTTGCCCGAACAACTGGGTCAGAACTCAGTTCTGTTCTCCATCTTAGCAGGACTGCAAGAAGGAAAGGAAGAAAGTAACTAACATTTTTCTTAAGCATCTGCTATGTACCATTCATTTAAAAAAAAAAGATTTTATTCATCCATTAAAGAAAGAGAGAGAGTAAGTGCACAAGCAGGGGGAGCAGCAGAGGGAGAGGGAAAAGCAGACTCCCCACTGAGCAGGGAGCCCAACACCGGGCAATCCCAGGGCTCCAGGACCATGACCTGAACTGAAGACAGACGCCTAAAACTGACTGAGCCACCCAGGCGCCCCTTGTACCATGCATTTTTACCAGTGTAACCCATTTAATACTCACAAATACCTGTGAGGTAGGTATTTTATCTCCATTTCCCAGATGAATAAACTGAGGCTCAGAAAAATTCAATGACTTGTCTTCAGTCACACAGCCTAAAGCAGGTGTGGGATTCAAACACAGGACTTCTAATTCAGTTCAATGTTCTGTCCCTAACAGCATACTGTAGCAAAAAAAAGCTCCCAATAGAGAGAGAGCTGTCTCTGAGCGTCACCACCTCTCCTGTCTTCCAATTGCCACATTCAGGCTTGAGCATAACTTAGTGCCACCCTGGGTCCTGTCCACAAGTCTTCCAGAAAACAAGGATGCACCCCAGCCTCACATCCCAGGACAACACTGCCTGCTGTGGGGAATGTGCCCAGGCCCCAAATTGTATTAGTGGATTTTAGTTGTCCATACCAACAGTGATTCCTTCTAACAAAAATAATTGAGAATTGATTATACTCAAGAGATGGTTCAACATAAAGCCACTTTTTAAAAAAGATATTATTTATTTATTTGAGAGAGAGAGCATGAGCGGGAGGAGGGATAGACAGAGAGGGAGAAGTAAACTCCATGATGAGCAGAGAGCCTGAGGTGGGGCTCAATCCCAGGATCCTGGAATCATGACCAAAGGCAGACGATAAAGCCACTTTTTATTGGAAGAACCATTCCCTTTAAAGGAATACAGTGGCTCAGTGGTTGAGCATCTGCCTTTGGCTCGGGTTGTGATCTCAGGATCCTGGGATCAAGTCCTACATCAGGCTCATCACAGAGAGCCTGCTTCTCCCTCTGCCTGTGTCTCTGCCTCTTTTTCTCTGCCTTTTGTGAATAAATAAATAAGATTAAAAAAAAGGAATACGGTTCTGTACATAATTTAAGGGCAATAAAAGAAACATGGTCTAAGATAAGAATGATGTTTGGTCTCCATTATGAGGGATTCCATGCATTATGAGAGAACTTCTGAATGGTGAAAAATAGGTAAGCCCAAGCATCAATGGGTCCAAGATCTTGCAAAGACGAGTGAAGGTCTTTATCTCTAAGAAGACCCTTTCATGTCTATCTAAAATATGATTCTTGCTAATGTAGGAAGTTGAGCTTGAAGACTTCTAGAATTTTTCAGTTTTAGGGTTTTAAGACTTTCTGAGCTTCAGTAGATCTAGATCTAGGGGCACATGCTGGTATGCATCTGAGCTGCATCCAGGAACATACCTCATGTAAATACCTCACCTTCATTGCTTGGGGCTCCCTAAAGGATGGGCCTTGTTTGGGGGTTCTTGGAGATCATGTCTAGTCCCACTTGAAAATGTTTATCTACGGTTTAAACTTAAGCCAAGGTTACTGTCTTACGGTGCTTTTCTTTTCTCATGTTCAGATGAATTGACAAGTATATCTCCAGAGAAACGTAAGTTTGTCTGTCTTTCATGTATGCCCTGAAGAGGCGGGGGGGGAGTGGATAGAGAAAAAGGAATTGGCTGTGAGAGATTAACCTCTCAAGAACTGAAGTCCTTCCAACATCACATTTCCAACTCCTATTTTGGAAATATTCTCCAACGGGCTTTTCTAGGCTTTCCTTTACTTCCTTCCTCCCCTTCCCAAGCCCCCATGTCCATGCCTAAACTCTGAAGTCACCCTTAAGGGTGACTCTTAAAGGTTCTCCAGTTCCTCTTCTCCTTCAGATCCCCTCTTTCATGCCCTCTAGCCAGCAGAGTTCCCCTTTGACAAGATTCAAGACCTGGATGACAGGTGGTCTTCTGCATCTGGTCGATCCTTTTATTCCTAATTTGCCTTTGCCAAAATCTTGCTGGTTTCTCCCTCCAGTTTCTCTTCTCTTCTCTCCTATTTTCCAGGGTTTAAGGTCTCCATCTCTGGAACCGAGGTAGTGGTGACATGCCCTGATGTTTTTGGATATGATAATATAAAATGGGAAAAAAATGATAACCTTGTGGAAGGTGCTAGTAACAGAGAGCTATCTCAGAAGGAGTTTTCAGAAGTGGACGACAGTGGTTATTATGCCTGCTATGCAGATTCCGTAAAGGAGAAGAGCTATCTCTACCTGAGAGCAAGAGGTAATATAGGTCTCCAGAGCAAACACCACAGGACACTTTAGAAAAGGCCACTTCAAGAGAGCACTCTCAATTATTTCCCCAAACTCATCTCGCGGTCCCCTGGCATCTTTGTGCTTCTCTTACACTCAATCCTGAGACTCTCAGGGGCCGTAGGGCATCAGTGTTTTCTGAAATATGGATTAAACACGAATAGGGTGTCGCCTGGGTCAGCACTACATTTAAAAATAACAACTTCCCAAGAGACAGGATGGAGTTGTTTGCATTTTATCAAATCCAGAATTCTGGCATAGATATGGGTTTATCTGATGCCTTATCCAGAGATCAATTCTTCAGAAGGGTTTGTAGAGCTGCTATAATAAAGTATCATAAACTAAGGCATAATAATGATAGCTAACATTTACTGAGTACTTACTAAGTTTCAAGCACCATACCAAACATTTGCCAGGGATTTCTTTCATATAATCCTTTCAACAACCACATGAGTTAGGTATTATTTTATTCCCATTTTACACAAGAGGAAACAGAGGCTTTGTGAGTTGAAAACACTTCTTATAATTCTCACAGCTAGTGAGCAAAGGAAAGGAGCTGGGACTTGAACCCAGGACTGTCTGACTGCAGAGCCTCTACCTATAACCTTCACTCTTTGCTTATTGTTAAAAACACTGAAAGGCCCGGCTCTGGCCATGGCAAGCATGTGAGTAGTAAGGGGAGAATCACCTTTATTTATTCCTTGCTGGTTCTACTGTCCTTGCATCTTCTTTTCTCAGTAACTTCTCTTCCTCTCCCCTATCTCTGTCCCCCACAGTGTGTGCAAACTGCATAGAGGTGAATCTGATGGCAGTGGTCACAATCATCGTAGCTGACATCTGCCTTACTCTGGGGTTGCTGCTGATGGTATATTACTGGAGCAAGACTAGAAAGGCCAATGCCAAGCCTGTGATGAGAGGAACAGGTGCCGGCAGCAGGCCCAGGGGTAAGACCATGGAGTTAAGTTGGAAGAGAGTCTCACCAACGGGGACGTCCAGCCTGGACCAGGATGGGTGGCGAGTCCACAGCTAGGTCAAGACAACTTCTATAGAACATTCACTGTATGGCCAACGTCTGGACAGACAGTTTCACATCTCAGATTGCTTCTCTCTTTCCTACCCTAGAGAAATACAAAAAAATAATTATTAACAGGATGGCTGTGAGTGTTCTAGAGTAGCCAGATTCTTCACACACCCCTAATCTGTGGGGAGAGAGACTTTGGGATATTATTAGCTCCTTCCTTTTTCCTTCTCTTCCCCATAGAAAAGGACACACGGAAGGACTTTGAGCTGAGGAAAGTCATAAAATGATGAGAAGAGTATGGAGGTCATTAGAGATGGGATGAAAGGAAACAGGAGGCAGAGGACCCAAGATAAAAAAGGGGAGAGCCAGAGGAGAGAATGAAGGGGGTTGCCATCCGGGATCTGGGTCTCATTGCCACGAGATGAGTTTTCCACATGGGAACTAATCCTTTCCCCTCCCTCCTCTGCAGGACAAAACAAGGAGAAGCCACCACCTGTTCCCAATCCAGACTACGAGGTAAGAAGGGATAGAGTCGGGGAGGGGATCTGTCTAGAGAAGGGGACAGGTGGGACGGTCCATCTGGCCTGCTGGACACTTTGAAGCCCCTCACGCAGGGCTCCCAGACAACCTGCCCCATGGCCACCTTCTCCTCCTTCAGAACAAGGCCATTTCCAAGGCTGTGTGGCTTCTACCACTATGGCATGGGGGGTGGAGGTGGGGTGACCCTCCTCTTTCTGCGGCTTAGTCGTTAGCTGGGATACAACATGGGGAATACCATATCCACACCTTCTAACACGATACATTCAGGACTAGTTTCCACCAGCATGCAGGGGTACGACCACGCTGGTCGTTGAAATATTAAAGTATTTCGTTGGTAAATAGCCCCAAGCTTCCGGCTCCCCTCTCCCAACACACAGGCTGCCAGACATCGCAGCCTCTCCCCCACTAGACTGCTTTTCCATTTGACAACTAAAGAGTTAATGCCTGGCCTCAGAGAGAACCAACCACCAGGACTATTTCGGTTGGCTGGTGTGTGTGCACTACCAATTGTAAAATATTGGGACGCTCACACCTAAACAAACTCCACAACTCTTTACTGAGCACCAGCCACACACGTGGTATTCATCTTCATATAGGTGACTTCATTTAATCCTGGCAAATGCCCTGAGAGATGAGTCTTTAGATGCCCATTTTTGAGATGGGAAGGCTGAGGCTCCCAGAAGGTGGCAGGGGCAAGCCTGTTGCCAGTGGGTACCAGGTGAGAATGCGAGCCAGCTTCTTGACTACTAGTCTGCAGTCCTTTCCATTGTACTAAAACTAGAGCTTCAGTGGCCCCTTCTTTCTGGGGGGAACTACTTCTTCCTGTCCTGTTGACCACGACCTCTCTATTCCACCTACAGCCCATCCGGAAAGGCCAGCAGGACCTGTATTCTGGCCTGAATCAGAGAGGCATCTGACGGCTCCTGAGGACACGGCCTCCCCCAGGCCCAGGTCTTGGTGTCTCCAGGTCCTGCTACTCCCAGTACCCTGGGTAAATCTTGAACCCCAGAAGAGAATTGTTCCTCTGCCTTCTGGAGAACTAACTCCCAGGCTGCAGCCTTATCCCCAGCTCCCTCCAACCCGCCTTCTCTGCTGGCACTCGGTCCTGCAATATCACCTCCTCATCATGGCCATTCACTGCCCCCCCACCAGCCAGATTGCCCTCTGGTCAGGGTATTTATTTCTGTTACCCTGACGCCCCCACCATCACCAGTTCCTTCCTACCCTTCAGAGGTATCCTTGCTCTCTTCTGTACCGCCCCCTTGGACAGAACCTGCCCCCATCCCTTACTATCCCACCTACCTTTCCGTTTTTCCAGCTCTCTCTTTGGTGACCCTCTGTGGGGATGGACTAGGTAACTCTGGTAGAGGTCCTGCCCCATCCATGACCTCGGCCCAGAGCCACCCTCTGCCCACAGGCCCCTGGATGATCATTTGCATTTTTACAAACGTGCTAGGCTCCTTGACAGCTGAGAGAGAAAATAATAAAGTGTATTTGGCTGAAAGAGTTGCTGTGCCTCTTTTCTGGGAGGCCCTCAGAGGCTGGTTCCTCACATCCTCCCACCTTCGACTCAATGCCCCCCTAGGATCCCAAATGCAAGTCCTACCTGTTTTCACCACTGGTGGGGGTGTTAGCTCCTGGTATCTTTGGAGAGGGCATTAGGGAAGAAATAAAAAAGAGAGGGAGAAAGAAAGGAAAAGAATAGTCCTTTAACTTATCTTAAAAAAAAAAGATTTTATTTATTTATTCATGAGAAACACACAGGGGCAGAGACAGAGGCAGAGGGAGAAGCAGGCTCCCTGCGGGGAGCCCAATGCAGGACTTGATCCCAGGACTGGGGGATCGATCATGCCCTGAGCTGAAAGCAAACTCTCAGCCGCTGAGCCACCCAGATATCCCTAACTAACTTATCTTAAAGATGACAGAGAGTGACTGATGGGTCCCCAATGAAGCTGTCAGTTCAGAAAACAGAGGAACAGAAGCAGAAGCCTTCAAGGACAGGTGAGGGTGGTGGATGGGGAGCTTGGGGGTTGGGGGGGGGTCCGATTTCCACAAGCTGCCCAGGAGAAGAATCCAAGGCTAAGCCCCTGCCCTGCCGTGGGGAAGGAGGTGCTCTGGAGCAGGTACCCCTCCCTCTACTCTGCAAGCCAGCAGCCTGCAGCCAGAAGGCAGCTGTGGTTTGACACACCCGGATGTGGGCTGTGGGGCCCGGTGGGAGGGCCTCACCTCCACCTAGCACCCTGTGCTCCACTGCTAGCTCAGAGTGAAGGCCAGAACTATGAGAAGCCCCAGGGACCCCCTTCTCCCTCTATGTACCCAGAAACCTCCCCACTGACCACAGGGCTATTTATGCATGTGGCCACAATGAAGGGCCATTCGTGGTTAGCAATGTGCCACATGCCTTTCACACTCAGTCTCGGGCTCATGGCCACAGATTTGTTGGTCCCTGTTGAAGGATGCCTGTTGCCCCCTGTGCACTCAGCACCATAGGCTCACAAGGAGACTGTGATGTTAACCATCATTAGCTGCTGATCAGCAGTCAGGGCCTCTTGTCCCAGATGTTTCAGGAAGGGGAAGGATGGCTCAGGGTGAGAAAAGCTCTAGTGAGCACTGACTAGGTTCTAGAAATCACCCTTAGCACTCTCCATGTGTTGCTCCTAAAATCTTTATAACAACTCAGCAAAGTTGACAAAATAGATGTTGTTGTCCTCATTCTACAGATGAGGCTACAGAGACTCAGAGAGGTTGTTATTTGTCCAAGTTGCACAGCTAGTGAGGGACGGAACAGGAATGAGCAGCCAAGACTGTCCAACTCCAATGCTCTGAACAGCTCTGTGGGATTGACAGTGATCATAAAGAATGCTCACTGTTTTCTTGGCTTGAAAGCTCTGAAAAAAAAAAAAAAGAAAGAAAAGAAAGCTCTATGTTTAATCACTTAGGCACTCCTTCAGTCAAGGGCTTTTCTCATCACTCATGGGGCAGACCAGCTATGTGCTAAGTGCTAAGGGGAAACAAAAAAAAATAGTTTTTGCCTTCAAGGAGCTTGCAATTATAGAAGAATGGCCAAGAGTGCAGAAGTTTGAACAACAACAGGAAAATAAATGTAATTTAGCCCCCATGGGGGATCCCTGGGTGGCGCAGTGGTTTGGCGCCTGCCTTTGGCCCAGGGCGCGATTCTGGAGACCTGGGATCGAATCCCACGTCGGGCTCCCGGTGCATGGAGCCTGCTTCTCCCTCTGCCTGTGTCTCTGCCTCTCTCTCTCTCTCACTGTGTGCCTATCATAAATAAATTTTAAAAAATTAAAAAAAAATTTAGCCCCCATGGGTGCTGTAGACAGTGCCCCAAGGAGGAACTCCACTCACCGAAGACAAAACAGGTAACCTAAATAAGCAGTGAGCTATTAAATAAATTGAATTGATAGTTTAAAACCTTTCCACAAAGAAAATTTGAGACCAAGAAGACTTCACAAGTGAAATCTACCAAATATTTAAGGAAGAAATAATACTGATTCTATATAAATTCCTCCAAAAAAATTGAAGAGGGAATACTTCCAGTTCATTCTATGGAGACCAAACTCATGGTAATGGTTGATTTTATGTGTCAACTTGGCTGAGCCACAGCGTCCAGATATTTGGTCAAACACATCTGGATGTTGTCGTGAATGTATTTTTTTAGTTGAGAATAATGTTTAAATCAGCAGACTTTGAGTGAAGTAGGTTATCCTCCAGCATGTGGGTGGGTGATTAGCCCCATCTAATCAATTGAAGGCCTTACAGAAAAAAAAAAAAAAAAAAAAAAAAAAAACAGCATGAGGTCCTCTAAGGAAGAGGGAACTCTCTATCTCTAGACTGTCTTTGGACTCAAGTTGCAACATCAGCTCTTCCCTGGGTCTCCAACCTGCCAGTTCACCCTGATGATTTTGGACTTACCAACCTTCACAATTGTATGAGCCAATTCCTTAAAATAAATCTCTCTCTTTCTCTCTCTGCTCTCTTTTCCCTTTCCTATATAACATCCTGTTGGTTCTGTTTCTCTGGAGAACCCTAATGACAAATCCTGATATCAAAACCAGGTAAAACATTACAAGAAAAAAAAACTGAAGACCAATATCCCTTAGGAAGAGAGGCAAAATTTCTTCACTAAATAAATTTAATCTAATAATATATAAAAAGGAAAAAAAGAATAGGGCTACCCAGTTGCCTCAGTCATTGGAGCCTGTGACTCTTGATCTTGGGGTCATGAGTTCAAGTCTCATGTTGAGGATAGAGTTTACTTAAATATATATAAATATATATAATATGCTTATAAAATATATTTTTATAAATTATATATAATAAATATATAACATATATTTATATGTTTATATATAAACATTTACATGTTCATATATGTTAATATATGTTTTATATATGTTATAAAGAATAATATATAATGACCAAGTATAGTTTATTTCAGGAATGCAGGATTGATGTAATAGATCATGCCACCGATGTAATTTATCATTAACAGATTAAAGAAGTAAAACCAGATAATCATCTCAACAGATACAGAAAAAGCATTTGACAATATTCAACAACTGTTTTTACTAAAAATTCCCAGCAAACTAGAAAGAGAAGGAAACATCCTCAACCTCTTAAAGAACATGTAAGAAAAACGTATGGCCAATATCATACCTAATGATGAAAGACCACGTTTCCCCTAAGATCACAAATACGGCAAGAATGTCCTCCCTTCCCTTCGATTCAACATTGTACTGGAGGTTCTAGCCACTGTGATGAGCAAAGGAACAGAAGTAAAATATATCCAGATTGGAAATGGAAAATTTAAATGATCTTTATTCACAAGCAACCTGATCACCTATGTAGAAATTCTGACAGACTTTATATAAAAAAAAAGTACCAGAATTAATATGTGAATTAATATGTGAAGTTTTCAGGGTACAAGATCAATATACAAAAAAACAACTGTTTTTCTAGATACTATCAATGAACAACAATTGGAAATTGAAAGTTTAAAAACACCATATAAAAGAGCATCAAAAAATATAAAATACTTAAGGGATAAACCTGACAAAAGATGTATTCATGGATTGGAAGAGTCAATATCATTAAGATGTCAATTCTTTGCAAGTTGACCTTTAAATTCTACACGATCCTGATCAAAATCCCAGCAGGCATTTTGTAGTAATTGAGAAGCTAATTCACATGGGACTACAAAAAATCTAGATGGGCATTTGGGTGGCTCAGTTGGTCAAGCGTCTGCCTTCAGTTCAGGTCATTATCCTGGGGTCCTGGGATCAAGTCCTACATCAGGCTTCCTGCTCCCTGGGGAGTCTACTTATCCCTCTCTCCTTGCTCTTCTCCCTTCTTGTGCTTTCTCTGGTTCTCTCTCTCTCAAATAAGTAAATAAAAATTTTAAAAATAATAATAATAAAAGAAATAAGTAAAATAAAACAAAGAACTTAGAATAGCCTGACTACTTTCTTTAAAAGTTGCATCTTAGCCATTCCACTCCTGAGTATCCAACAGAAATAACAGTATATGTCCACACAACAGCTTATATGTGAATGTTCATGGCAGCTTTATTTGTAATAGCCAAAACCAGGAAATAACCCAAAAAACTATTAACAGGTGGATGGATAAACAGCCTGTGGTATGTCTATACAATGGAATACTATTTACTGGAAAATAAAAAGGAATAAAATATTGATAGATGCACCAAGATTTTGATGAAACTCAAAATAATTATGCTCAAGTGTAAGAAGCCAGCCCAAAAAGGGGTACATATTATATTATTACACTTATGTAAACATCTAGAAAAACAAAAAACTAACCTATAATGACAGAAAGCAGCTCAGTGGTTGCCTGGAGGGTAGGGGAATAGGGAGAGGATGGAGGGAGGGATAGGATGCAAAGGAACACAAGGAAACTGTCCAAGGTGTTGGATATGTTCATTACCTTAATTGTGGTGATGTTTCACAAGGGTATACATATGACAAAATATCACACTTTACACTTTAAGTATACGTAGTTTATTCACATCAGTTTACCTGAATAAAGCTGTTTATTTTTAATATATGTGCTGCTGAGGTGAACACAAAGCTATTTATTTTTCAAAAGATGTATTTATTGGGGGACTTGGGTGGCGCAGTTGGTTAAGTGTCTCCTTCCAGCTCAGATCATGATCTCCAGTTCTGGGGATCGAGCCCCATGTCAGGCTCCCAGCTTAGCAGGGAGTCTGCTTCTCCCTCTTCCTCTCCCTCTTCCTCTCCCCCTACTCATAGTCTCTCTCTCTCTCTCTCTCTCTCTCTCTCTCGAATAGTCTTTTTAAAAATAAAATATTTATTTGTTTGTTTGTTTATTTGAGAGAAAAGTGTGAGTAGGGGGGAAGGGCAGAGGGAGAGGGAGAAAAGGAATCTCAAGCTGACTCCCCACTGAGTGTGGAGCCCAACTCAGGGCTCAATCTCATGACTCTGAGATCATGACCTTAGCCAAAATCGAGAGTCACATGCTCAACCATTTGAACCACTCAGGGGCCCCAGTAAAGCTGTTTGTTAAAACCACAAAAAAAAAAAAAGAGAACCAAAGGGACACAAGTTTCCAGAAGGGCTCAGGTGGAGGGCAGTTTTCTCAACCTTGGCTTCGCAATAAAATCACTTTAAGCTGTTCTGAAAGCCCTGGTGCCTTAGTCCCAAGATAATCAGAATCTCTGAAGATTCCAAAGTATATGCCATGTTGAGAACTGGTGAGAGGTATAAGGAGATAGAAGAGCATACAAGGAATACAAGGTGAAGGGAAGAGTGCAAGGTGTGGGAAGGATACAAGCACTGGTGTAGTAGAAGCCAAGGGAAAGTTGTCCAAGGTGGAGTGATCCAATGTGAAAGTAGGAGGCAGGCCTCAGAGAACAACAGAAGTAGGAATGTAAAAGGTAGGAATGAGCCATAACCATGAATGAAGCATGTGTAAATTGGAAGTTCATTCTGTTTCTAACAAAATTAGCATCTGTGGGCAGGAATATAGTGGGCAGAATAATACAAATCTCTGGTTGTGCGGTGTTAATTCTTTCTCTTTTAGGGAACCCTGGTCCTGAAGTTCTTTCAATTACCATAACTCAGAGAACAAAAAGATGGGTTGCCCCTATGGAAGATGGGAATGAGCATAAAGGACCCAAAAGAATCAGTGGCCTCAGTTCTTCCTCTAAACCAGAGACTCTCTGAATTGGGGCTGCTTCAGAATCACCTGGAGGCTACATGCCTAGAGTGGAGCCCAAGTGTCTATATTTTTAAGAAATCCTTCAGGGTCCCAAGGTTTCAGAACCACCATAAACCCAGTAGCTGAAGATGACATCTATTGAAAATATCCCAAGGCCCTGTTCACTCTCAAGTTCCAGGTTTCCAAGTGGCTGAAGAGTTTCTGATGTTAGGGGCGCCTGGGTGGCTCAGTGGTTAAGCATCTGCCTTCAGCTCAGGGCGTGATCCCAGGGTCCTGGGATCAAGTCTTGCATCGGGCTCCCCGCAAGGAACCTGCTTATTCCTCTGCCTATGTCTCTGCTTCTCTCTGTGTGTCTCACACGAATAAATAAATAAAATCTTTTTTAAAAAAAGTTTCTGATATTAGTTTATTATGCAGAAGGCAGAGGCAGGACAGGGACAGATTCTGAGAAAAAGAAGATGAATGGTACCTTCTATACTGCAGTAAAGGGTACTGAATGGACCTACATTAAAACCTCCTCATATCTAGTGGCTACCTCTCCATGGGGTCATAAAGCCAAGGCCAGCCCTTTAGCAGAAGTGGGACTTTGTCACACATACTCTCCAAGTCTTGATGAGAAGTGATCTCTTGGGCTCTTGATGTTTCCACCTCCTCTGCTCATGATGTCACGGAAACCTCTGTGTGGCTAGGTATCTAAACATAGCAGCCTGCCCTTGGCTGTGGTGAGGAAGTCAAAGCCCTCAAGGGGTTGTAATAGGGGGCTGGGGGCAACAAGTAGCAACAAGTGTGGTGGAAGAGATCCTGCACCTAGGAAGCCCCCTGGGTCAGGAACACCAGGTCCCTGCACCAGGGAGCTCACTGGTCCAGAATGGAGTAGGAGACTGCCCATCACACTGTCCATCTGGGGCAAAGGACTGGAACCAATGAAGGAAGGACACAGGTGGGCAGGGAAGGCAAGGGCTCAGCCAAGTCAGGACAACTCCCATGCCTTGCCCAAGAGTCTTGAAAAATCCAGGCACCTGCCAAGTGAAATAAGACTTCTTTATTGAATGAGCAAGGAAAGAAAGTACAGTCGATAGCTGATACTGCTATAAGCCACCAGTCTCAGGTTCACTTCTTCCGAGGCCAGTTTTCACCAAGATGACTATACTGAGCATCATTCCGATCTCGAAGGGGCTAGGAGGTAAGAAGAGGAACAGTGAAGCAGGATCAGGATTCTCCTAGTGAAGACCCCAGTCGGCCCCAGAGATGAGAGCTCATACCAAATTTCCCAGTGCCCCCCACTCCCCGGGATGAATTCCTCACCAGGACTCTTCATCCATACACATAACATCTAGCATCAGCCTCTTCATCCCCTCCCATTCTCCTCCCATTCATGTCTCTTTCCCCTCAGGGCTCACCTGATAGAGCTGGTCATTTTCCAACAGAATTTGAGTGTCAGCAGCTAGAAGAAACAGGGAGAAAGAGTCATCAAGGGCCTAGGAGGATGGGACAGTGAGACTCCATGAGTACTGCAGGAGGACTACAGCTGGTCATACCCTCAGAAGTCTGCATGAGCAATATAGGCACAAGTCTTCCAACAACCAGTTTTAGGAGTTCTTAGGAGACTGCAAGAGTGACTCAGATGAGACACAACCCATTGCCAGCTCCATTCTTAGCAGGTGCACGCTCACACCCACAACACCCATGTACATACACACATGCACACTCTGTCCTTTCCACTTACACTTAGAGGACCTTCCAGTCTCATGTCCAGCAAAGCAATAGACTCCCAAAGCAAGGAGCAGAGTGGCGATTATGTCAGTGATGACGATGCCAGCCAGGGTAGCTGAGTCCAGTTCCACACAGTTCTGACACACTGTGGGGGAATGAGGGTAAGAGGAGATCTAGAGAGCCTTCAAGACCAGGGAACCATCTCTGCCCCCTAGGGCAGCCCCAGAACCTCACACTAAGACTCAAATTTTAGTAAGACCCCTGGATAAAGGCCTGCTGATGCCTTTGCTACATCCACCTCTGCCCTTAATCCCAAGGAATCCCTGAGAAGAGCCAAGAAGTACTTTCAGCTTTGTAGGAATGTAAACAAGGCAGTAAGGCCAAACAACTCTCTTTTTTATATATAATAAATTTATTTTTTATTGGTGTTCAATTTGCCAACTTACAGAATAACACCCAGTGCTCATCCTGTCAAGTGCCCCCCTCAGTGCCCATCACCCATTCACCCCCCCCCCCCGAAACAACTCTCTTAACCAAGATTCTACTGCTTGAGTCACAAGGCCCCTACTGTTTTTTTCTGCAAGTTAAGTTCCAAAGTCTGGCTCACACCATTACAAGAGTAACTTCACTTTGTTTAGAGAACAGGTTGGTCCACCATTGTGCCCTCTGGCTCTAAGGTTCTCATATCCAGAGGTCCCATCCATTTCAGTTCAAAGAATCCAAAAGGCACATACTTCGATAATATACTTGCATATAAGGTGTTTTGTCAGATTGTTCTTCTGTCGCATTGCACCGATATATTCCTCGTGGGTCCAGGATGCGTTTCCCCAAGTCCAGAGTTCTACTGCGTGGGAGTTGTATTCCCATAGTTCCCTCTATCCTTAGGACACTGGTATTGCAACTCAGGAACACTCTGTCCTCAAGTTCCTCCACAGATACCTTGAAGGAGCTCACTAAGGAGAAAACAAACAAACCAACAAACAACAAAAACAAAAAACAATGATTGCAGCCAGCTGTTTGGTCTGTAGCAGATGCCTGATTCTGCTGAAGTTTATATTTTAAAAGGACCGCTTTCTAAGTCTAGGACAATTTATGGTTTCCAGTGAGAGAGAAAGAAGTCCCAAGAAAAAGGCTTTGGGGGGCTCCCCATGAACTACAAGAACCAGGAAGGATGCAAGAATTCAGTCCAAGCAGAGCACAAACCCTGACAGACATGGAGCAAAAGAGGAAACCATGGAAGCTGGTTGATCCAAGAACCTTCCTGGAAATGCATTCAGACCACTGATTAGAAGTAGAAGGAAAGCATAGACTATTGAAGCACCAAAGAGACATGGAAAGACAGAAGAATGTTCCTCAGCTGGAAATGTCCACATTTGTTCTCCAGCAAAACTTTTTTTTTCTAAGATTTTATTTATCTATTTAAGATAGAGAGAATGCACGAGCAGAGGAGGAGAGGCAGAGGGAGAAGAAAAGCAGACTCCCCACTGAGCAAGGAGCCCCCCCACACGGGGCTCCATCCCAGGACTCTGAGATCATGACCTGAGCCAAAGGAAGACATTTAACTGACTAGACACCCAGGCGCCCACCAACAAAACTTTTAACTCTGCTTCCCAGCCATCTACAACCCTTCCACTTTAATTTCTCATCCTCTTCTCTCCCTTTTTGCCCCTGCCCCAACAGCTACCAAGAAAATGGGACTCTCACTACTAAAGTCTTTCCTGGGACCAGTGATGGTTAGGATAGGAGAGAAGCTGGTATGAATTACCAGTCCAGTGATCCAGGAGGCCCAGGGCAAAATCCATGTAATGATTTTTAGTTATTCTACCCTTGCTTAGGGGGAAGGGGACAGAAAAAAAATTATCAAATTCATTCTTGGGGCTCCACACAAGTGAAGTTTTGTTGGGAATTTAAGGACTGGAGGTATGCACAGTGCCTTTCTAGATCCACTGAATTACTTTGAGAGTATGTCCAGAGTCCACAGAGGCACAAGGATCTGTATCTCCAATCCCAGTGAAAAGTGCAATCCAGATTTTTCCTGACTCCATATTCAGTTACCAATTCGAATACAAGAGCATCCTCTGGAAAATCCCCAAAAGAGCTGTTTCTCATGCCTCTCCAGCAGACCAAGATTATATGGGCATATATCAGAGAGATACATGTACATCAGATGCTTCACATCCTACAGTCATGCCTTCCATGCGGATTTGCTTCCAATGGAAATCCTAGATATCCCAAAGCATTTGTCCCAGTTTTCCTGAGACTGAGGGGGTTTCTGGGATAAGACACTATCACTTTTAAAACCAAGCAAACCAGGGCACCTGGGGTGTTCAGTGGCTGAGCATCTGCCTTTGGCTCAGGGCATGATCCCGGGGTCCTCGGATCAAGTCCCACATCGGGTTCCCCATGGGGAACCTTCTCCCTCTGTCTATGTCTCTGCCTCTCTCTGTCTTTCATGAATAGATGGATAAAGTCTTAAAAAAAAAAAAAAAGGCAAACCAAGATGTGTTGATCATCCTACCACCTCAGACATTCCCTCCTTCCTTCTCAATTTAAAGTTAACTTTCTCCTAAAGCATGCCCCTGAATACTGGGACATGGCTACAGGTGGCGACAAATGATGGCCAAATGACTAAGAGTCCTAGATCCCAGAGACTTTTTGCTCTAGAAGGAATAGCACTCCCTTACCAGCCCTAGGCTCAGGCCCCTGCAAACTGCACATTTCCTGCAGATCTCTGGCCCAAGGCCTTTAGAGAGACATTGAAAGCCAACATGCACGCCTAGCCAGAGTCAGTCAGAGCCAAGAACCTGTTTCCCAAATCCAAACCGTGTGCTACATCCCAACCCTGCCCTCCTTGACAACTCTGCCAGGTGAAGGGAAGCTAGCATTGAGAAGGATTTTCAAGTGGAGCTCACTCCAGGTGCTAATGTCCCTCTCGGGTTTCTTCTCTGAGATGCCCCCACCACCTAGAGAAGCCTTACCTCGGGAGAGGAGGACAGCCAGGATCAGGCCAGCCAGAAACCTGCAGTGTTCCATTTTCCGGGAGAATTCCTTCAGTAGGTAGACCCAAGTCACAGAACCACCAACCAGGGTAAGAGTGCCCTCCCCCAACTGACTCATGGGTACCCGGAAAAAGTAAAGGGGTGGAGGAAGAACTAAAAGACGGCTGTGTCTCTGCTATCTGCCGTTGATCATGGGAGATTGTCAGAGTAGGGGTAGACTGGGGGTGGGGTAGGAAGGAAACAGGTGCAAATTGTTCTTTCTCCAAGCAGGGAACTTGGGGGGTGAGGTGGAAGGGAGAGCAGAGTGTGGAAAAGTTTGCCTAGACCTCTAGGAAGTAAAAGAAGATTTAGGATGTTCTTTCCTGAGTCACTGATGAAAAACAGTAATTTCAGAGTTGCTGTCAACAATGTAACTACATTTACTCACTACCTGAAAACTGCCAGCTCTCAAAACTCTGGAAAGAAACTGTGAGCCCCATCCCATAATCCATACCAACAAGGTTCCTCCCATTTCTGGTCTTTCTTGGGACCCTGCCCTAGTTCCTCCTTAGGCAGCCTGGAATACCAGACTGACTAGCTTCTTACCAGTGGGAGGGTGGGCTTTGGAGCCCCCCAGCCCAGACAGATATTTGAATACCAACTCCTATACTGCCTACCCACCTGGCCTGAGCCAGTCAGAATTTTTCAGAGGCTAATTCCTTCAGTATCCCAATAAGGATTCAGACAAAAAGTTTGCATGGTACGTAACACATCATATTTACTCAGTAAGAGATAATTATTAATAACAACATGATTGGGGCACCTGGGTGGCTCAGTGGTTGAGCATCTGCCTTTAGCTCAAGGCATGATCCCGAGGTCCTGGGATTGAGTCCCGCATCAGGTTCCCTGCAGGGAGCCTGCTTCTCCCTCTGCCTATGTCTCTGCCTCTGTGTGTGTGTCTCTCATGAATAAATAAATAAAGTCTTTAAAAAAAAGCCAATATGATTGACTCACAGGCATAATTGAGTCTCCCCAGTAGACAATTGGACTATACCTCCTGTGGCCTAGGAGGATCCAAACTCTCTACGGGGCCAGAGTTGAACTGTAATTTACCTGAGGGCAGAGATAGCATATGTCTTGCTCCCTTCTGTATCTCTAACACCTAGCTTGTGCCTGGCACATAACAAGAGGTCTGTAGATTTTTGTTGACTCACTGACTTATAGCTGAGGGAGAAAGGAGCCTAAGATTCTGGAAACTCGCTCAGGCTCTGACCCTTGGAAATGTATGGCCTGTCTCATTGCAATTGTCCTATCTATTCTTGTCCAGGAAGGTACTTTCTTGATGATCTTGTCTCAAAAGACTGGTGAAAAATTCCTGAACAAGGGCCTAGACTGTGATGGTTTTCTGTTCAGAGCTCCAGCCCTGAGCATATGAGTGTTCTCATTTAAATTCATTAGTACTAGCAAGAAGCAATAACTGGCTGAAATCCTAGCAACAAGTGGTGGCAGAGATGTTTACCCATCTCTTGAAGAAAGAAGCCCAGGCCATCTCCTACCCACAACCCAAGGGGTGTCTCTGTGCAAGTCATCTCTGAGATGGGGATCTAGCACTCTCTCCTTTTCTTTCCCAACACTTCCCATTCTCTACTCCTTAACAGAAAGTGAGATACATTTGCACCTGCAACCCTGCTGAGGCCCTTCTCTGCCCACATTTGAAGTAGAGGGTGGTGGCTCTGGATTTGTGCCTTCTCTTAGGGGCCCCAGCCTAAATGATGCTGGGCGGAGCCAGACTGCCTGCTCCGCAGGCTGGCTGGCTGCTGGGGGTTGCTTAGTGCTTCTGTGTCAGGGAGAAAGGCAGAGGCTGACATGGAGCTGGGGAAGCATCTGGCTGGCCTCATTTTGGCTGTCACTCTTCTTCAAGGTAAGGAGTTCTGGCAGTCTGAAGAAAGGCTCAAGGAAGAGATCATCACCAGGGGTGAAAGAATATTGGGGCCTCTAACCTCAAACCTACCTCAGCTGTCACGCTAGAATTCTGAGAATGAAGGGCAAAAATGAAGCCTCTTACTGTTCTCTGCTAGAGAGAAGCAGTGTCCCATGGGAGAGATGGAGTCCTTGTCTCTTAAGAAATGAAAACAGGGGCACCTGGGTGACTCAGCTGTTTGGGCATCTGCCTTCAGCTCAGGTCATGGTCCCGGGGTCCTGGGATTGAGCCCCACATCGGGCTCCCTGCTCTGTGGGGAGCCTGCTTCTCCCTCTCCCTCTGTTACTCCCCCTGCTTGTGCTCTCTCTCTTTCTCTCTCTCTCAAATAAATAAAAATCTTTAAAAATTAAAAAAAAAAAGAAATGAAAGCAAAGGACTATACTGGCTAGAGAGAGGACCCGGATACAGCCATCTTAGGTTGATTGTAGCCCAAAAGAGCACAGGCCAGAAACCGGAAAAGAAAAAGTATGTATTCTTTAACTCAGAGCTTGAGTTAAGGGCAGACCTATAAGATATTCACTCACTCATTTGGTCAGTTGGTTAACTGGTTACGAAATACGAGTGAGATCCTTTTACATGATAGGCTGTAAAGATATAAAGGTGAATAAAAGCCTCCTGCCCTAGTGAGCTTATAGTCTAACTGGAGGGATAAGCTTCAGTGTCACCAGATTGAATGCAAGGTGCAATATTGGGTATCTGTATGACTATTCTGTTGGAAATAAATGGTAGGAAGTGGATGAACTGGGTCGATGCCTGGAATCTGGGCTAGAGATGAGTCTCCACACACTGGGGGAAGTTAAAACCACAAAAGCTGTTGTAATCACACAAGTACTATGTGAGATGTGAGGAAGAGGGGCTGAGAATGGAAATGAGAGGATATTTACCTTTAAGGGATAGTTCGAGAAAAACATCTCAAAAAAGAGATAAAAGGATGATCAAAGAGCGGAAATAACTGGATGAGTGCAATAGATAGAGAAACCATAGGAGAAAAAAAAAAAGAAAGAAACCAAATAAGTAGAGAGCTTCCAAAAGGAAAGAATCACCACTAATGAAATATTGTAGAGAGGTCCCGTTGATAGAAAGATATATTTAGAAGTTTAAATCTGTGGGATTTGGCAAAATAAAGGCCATGGATGATTTATAACACTCTCATTGGGGGTAGTATGAGTGGAAACTGGATGGATATGGTTTCACTCATACAGGGAATATAAGAAATAGTGAAAGGGATTATAAGGGAAAGGAGGGGAACTGAGTGGGAAAAATTAGGAATACAAACCATGAGAGACTCCCAACTCTGGGAAATGAACAAGGGGTTGTGGAAGGGGAGGTGGGCAGGGGCTTAGGGTAACTGAGTGACAGGCACTGAGGTGGGCACTTGATGGAATGAGCACTGGGTGTTACACTATATGTTGGCAAATCGAACTTGAATAAAAACAAATGAAAAAATGAAGTAATAAAAAAAGAAACTGAATGGAATTGTGTAGAAGTTGAAGGGTGAGTGATAATGTGCACCAAGTATAGACTATTCTTCAAAGATTTTGGATGAGAAGAGAAAAGAGTTTAAGTGATAAATAAAAAAAGAAATAGGATCTAAGACAAAATACTTTTGAGTGTAAGAGAAATTTGAAAAAAAAAAAGAGAGAAATTTGAGCACATTTTCAGGCTAAAGGAAAACAAAGAGTAGAGCAAGTTCCCTGAGTTGATGTTGAAAGGATGGAGTCAAGACTGGGCTCAAGGATACAGAGGAGAAGGCAACCTTACCTTCTGAGATGAGGAGAAAGGACGTGTAGATGGCTTTGGCCATGGGTAGGTGTGTAGATGGGAAAGAAGCTGGAGATCATTACAGCATCTATGTTCTCAACAAACCAAGTAGCAGACGATACCACTTGCAGAAACTGAGCTGGGTGACTGCTGGTTGGGAGACTTGAAGAGGATAGTGAGAATTTAGAATGATTTCTAAATGGAAATGGAAGAGCCAGCTAACGGCCACACAGGTTGAAGGGCAGGGGTGAAATCCTGTGTGAGGCAGCTAGATATAGCAGAAAGGGTACTGGGCTGAGCAACAGAAACCTGAGCTCTGGGTTCAGTTCAGCCACGAATGAGCTGTGTGAACTTGGATGATGCCTCCTTCCTGTGGGCTCTGTTGTCTTACTAGTCAACCTAGGAAATTTGGCTGCATGATCTCTCAATTCCTAAGAAGGAGTAAGACTCAGAGAAGCAAATTAAAGGATGTTAACAATCAGTTGGACCCTCTCTCCTATAGAATCTGAGTTAGAACGAAGGGCCTCTTCATCCCTCCCATGGTGATCAAGTGTTCAGGGAGGACCACTAGTGAAAAATCTGCCTAACTCTCTGCCCTGCTTTTTTTTTTTATTCATTCATTCATTCATTCATTCATTCATGCCCTCATTCAACAAATATAAAGCTCCTACCATGTTTCAAACACCGTGCTAGGTACTATTAATAATTGGTTCAGTCCTGCAAGAAATTCTAAAACAGTTGTCTCCTTTCAACTGTTTCCATTATACTTTTTTTCCCCATCGTAATTTGATTCATGCTTCATCTGTCCCCATCACACATTCTACCCCTAGACATACTACCTCTCTGTCCTTTTCCAATCTGTCTTTGCTCAGCTATTCTTTCTCCCCAGAATGCCTTTCTCTGTCTGGTAAATTCCTAATCATTTTTTGAGGCCCAACTAAATATCACCTTCTCTGTTAAGTTTTCCCTGTCCCTCACTCTTGGGCAAAATCAATAGCTTCTAGCCCCTTTCATATGCATTCACATAAGTACTAAAACTAATTGATAAGTTCTATTATATTAGTTATATATGTGTTCATTTTTCCTATTTTGTTGTAAACTCTTTGGAAGCAGAAAGTTCTTTGTATCACCACTCGTGTCTTTCATATTGTTTAATCATGTCAGGTACATAATAGTGCTTGGTGTTTTGATTCAATCCAATTGAACTGAATTCCATTGCTAGTTCTCTGCAGTATATCTATCATGCAATTCTACTACTCTGAATTTTGAGACAGATTTGAGAGCTATTGAATAGCTACCTCCTCTAGGATGTCCAGGGTTTCTACAAAAAAAATGGATCACCAAGGCTGAGGATATTATTTTTTTTAAGATTTTATTTATTTATTCATAAACACAGAGAGAGAGAGGCAGAGACACAGGCAGAGGGAGAAGCAGGCTCCATGCGGGGAGCCTGACATGGGACTCGATCCCGGGTCCCCAGGATCACGCCCTGGGCTGAAGGCAGGCACCAAACTGTTGAGCCACCCAGCCTGCCCCAAGGCTGAGGATTTTAGAAGAACTCTAAAAATTCTTTAGTTAGTGTAAACCAACTTCTTGCCAGGATTTTAGCTGCTAAAAAAGCAAAGCATTCCAGACTGTACAGGAAATACCTTTATGTATATTCCAGTATAGTTCTGACTCTGACCATCCAAAGTTAACATCAGACCCCACAGTTTAAGGGCACTGTCCCCAACAAGACTGCCCTCACTTTAAATGCCAGGCACAAGTTTAGGGGTTCCTTTTTTTTCTTTTTTTTTAATTTTTTTTATTTATTTATGATAGGCACACAGTGAGAGAGAGAGAGGCAGAGACACATGCAGAGGGAGAAGCAGGCTCCATGCACCGGAAGCCCGACATGGGATTCGATCCTGGGTCTCCAGGATCGCGCCCTGGGCCAAAGGCAGGCGCTAAACCGCTGCGCCACCCAGGGATCTAGGGGTTCCTTTTTTTAATAATAAATTTATTTTTTTATTGTTCAATTTGCCAACATACAGAATAACACCCAGTGCTCATCCCGTCAAGTGCCCCCCTCAGTGCCCGTCACCCATTCACCCCCACCCCCCGCCCTTCTCCCCTTCCACCACCCCTAGTTCGTTTCCCAGAGTTAGGAGTCTTTATGTTCTGTCTCCCTTTCTGATATTTCCTACCCATTTCTTCTCCCTTCCCTTCTATTCCCTTTCACTATTATTTATATTCCCCAAATGAATGAGACCATATAATGTTTGTCCTTCTCCGATTGACTTACTTCACTCAGCATAATACCCTCCAGTTCCATCCACGTTGAAGCAAATGGTGGGTATTTGTCATTTCTAATGGCTGAGGAATATTCCATTGTATACATAAACCACATCTGCTTTATCCATTCATCTTTTGATGGACACTGAGGCTCCTTCCACAGTTTGGCTATAGTGAACATTGCTACTATAGTATACTAGATAGTATACTAGATTGCTACTATAGTATAGTAGATAGTGGACATTGCTGCTAGAAACATCGGGGTGCAGGTGTCCCGGCGTTTCATTGCATCTGTATCTTTGGGGTAAATCCCCAACAGTGCAATTGCTGGGTCGTAGGGCAGGTCTATTTTTAACTCTTTGAGGAACCTCCACACAGTTTTCCAGAGGGGCTGCACCAGTTCACATTCCCACCAACAGTGTAAGAGGGTTCCCCTTTCTCCGCATCCTCTCCAACATTTGTGGTTTCCTGCCTTGTTAATTTTCCCCATTCTCACTGGTGTGAGGTGGTATCTCATTGTGGTTTTGATTTGTATTTCCCTGATGGCAGGTGATGCAGAGCATCTTCTCATGTGCGTGTTGGCCATGTCTATGTCTTCCTCTGTGAGATTTCTGTTCATGTCTTTTGCCCATTTCATGATTGGATTGTTTGTTTCTTTGGTGTTGAGTTTAATAAGTTCTTTATAGATCTTGGAAACTAGCCCTTTATCTGATACGTCATTTGCAAATATCTTCTCCCATTCTGTAGGTTGTCTTTTAGTTTTGTGGACTGTATCCTTTGCTGTGCAAAAGCTTCTTATTTTGATGAAGTCCCAATAGTTCATTTTTGCTTTTGTATCTTTTGCATTCGTGGATGTATCTTGCAAGAAGTTACTGTGGCCAAATTCAAAAAGGGTGTTGCCTGTGTTCTCCTCTAGGATTTTGATGGAATCTTGTCTCACATTTAGATCTTTCATCCATTTTGAGTTTATCTTTGTGTATGGTGAAAGAGAGTGGTCTAGTTTCATTCTTCTGCATGTGGATGTCCAATTTTCCCAGCACCATTTATTGAAGAGACTGTCTTTCTTCCAGTGGATAGTCTTTCCTCCTTTATCGAATATTAATTGACCGTAAAGTTGAGGGACCACTTCTGGATTCTCTATTCTGTTCCATTGATCTATGTGTTTGTTTTTGTGCCAGTACCACACTGTCTTGATGACCACAGCTTTGTAGTACAACCTGAAATCTGGCATTGTGATGCCCCCAGCTATGGTTTTCTTTTTTAAAATTCCCCTGGCTATCCGGGGTCTTTTCTGATTCCACACAAATCTTAAAATAATTTGTTCTAACTCTCTGAAGAAAGTCCATGGTATTTTGATAGGGATTGCATTAAACGTGTAAATTGCCCTGGGTAACATTGACATTTTCACAATATTAATTCTGCCAATCCATGATCATGAAATATTTTTCCATCTCTTTGTGTCTTCCTCAATTTCTTTCAGAAGTGTTCTATAGTTTTTAGAGAATAGATCCTTTACCTCTTTGGTTAGGTTTATTCCTAGGTATCTTATGCTTTTGGGTGCAATTGTAAATGGGATGGACTCCTTAATTTCTCTTTCTTCAGTCTCATTGTTAGTGTATAGAAATGCCACTGACTTCTGGGCTTTGATTTTGTATCCTGCCACACTGCCAAATTGCTGTATGAGTTCTAGCAATCTTGGAGTGGAGGCTTTTGGGTTTTCTGTGTAGAGTATCATGTCATCGGCGAAGAGGGAGAGTTTGACTTCTTCCTTGCCAATTTGAATGCCTTTAATGTCTTTTTGATGTCTGATTGCTGAGGCTAGGACTTCCAGTACTATGTTGAATAGCAGTGGTGAGAGTGGACATCCCTGTCTTGTTCCTGATCTTAGGGGAAAGGCTCCCAGTGCTTCCCCATTGAGAATTATATTTGCTGCGGGCTTTTTGTAGATGGCTTTTAAGATGTTGAGGAATGTTCCCTCTATCCCTACACTCTGAAGAGTTTTGATCAGGAATGGATGTTGTATTTTGTCAAATGCTTTCTCTGCATCTAATGAGAGGATGATATGGTTCTTGGTTTTTCTCTTGCTGATATGATGAATCACATTGATTGTTTTACAAGTGTTGAACCAGCCTTGTGTCCCAGGAAATAATCCTACTTGGTCATAGTGAATAATTTTCTTAATGTACTGTTGGATCCTATTGGCTAGTATCTTGGTGAGAATTTTTGCATCCATGTTCATCAGGGATATTGGTCTATAGTTCTCCTTTTTGGTCGGGTCTTTGTCTGGTTTTGGAATTAAGGTGATTCTGGCCTCATAGAACGAATTTGGAAGTACTCCATCTCTTTCTATCTTTCCAAACAGCTTTAGTAGAATAGGTATGGTTTCTTCTTTAAACGTTTGATAGAATTCCTCTGGGAAGCCATCTGGCCCTGGACTTTTGTGTCTTGGGAGGTTTTTGATGACTGCTTCAATTTCCTCCCTGGTTATTGGCCTGTTCAGGTTTTCTATTTCTTAAGTTTAGGGGTTCCTATACCACCTACACTTCCAACAAATTGGGTACAAATCTGGAGGGTTCCCACATTTGATAATTTGTTAGAACAACTCATAAAACTCAGGAAAGCACCATATTTACTATTAAAGTTTAATTTTAGAAAATAAAATCAGGATTTTCCAAATGAAGAGACACATAAGTAAGGTCTGAGAGGGCCCTGAACACAGAGCTTCTGTGCTCTCTGCCTGTGGAATCAGAATACATCACCTTCCTAGTACATTGATGCAATCACCAATGAAGAAACTCCACTGAGTTTTTTTTTCTTGACTTTTTTTTTTTAAGAGTAAAAGAGAGCTAGGGATAGGGGGAGAAGAAAAGGGAGAGACTCTCAAGCAGACTCTGTGCAGAGCACGAAGCCCAACACAGGGCTTGATCTCACTACCCCAGAGATCATGATTTGAGCTGAACCCAAGAGTCAGACATTCAACCAACTGAGCCACCCAGCCCCTCCACTGAGTTTTTATTGGGGTTTCATGACATAAGTATAATGTTCGAATCATTGGCCATATGACTGAACTCAATCTCCAGCTCTCTTCCTCTCTCAGGGTTCAAATTCCCAGATTATATGGGTCTTGACCAACTCCATCCTGAGTCATTTCTTTAGCATAAACTCATGCATGGTCCATAAGCCCACCAAGGGACACATGGTTGGCTCTGTCGGTTGAGCATCAGACTCTTGATTTTAGCTCAGATCATGATATCAGGGTTGTAGGATAGATCCCTGAGCAGAGCTCCTCACTCAGCAGGGAGTCTGCTTCTCTCTCTCTCTCCTTCTCCCTCTGCCCCTCCTCCTGCTTATGCACTGTCTCCCACTCCCTCTCCCTAAAATAAATAAATAAATCTAAAAAAGAAAAAGAAGAAATGCACCAAGACTAACAAAGACACTCCTAACACTCATTAAATTCCATGGGTTTAGAAGCTCCCTCCCAGGAATCCATGACAAAGATCAGACAAATTCTTTATTATACAACACCCTGAATTCAATTTGGTGATTTAGGCTGCAACCCCAAAGAAGTAAGTATAGATACTTTCCACTTTCCTAGATTAGGATATCTATCTTGGCCTCAAATGACCAAGGTAATGATACCTCAGGGCATCTGGACAACTCTATGCCCAGCTAATTCTCTTTTCTGTCTTTACAGGTGCTACAGCCCAGAAGGAACAAGGTAGGATGAGTGGCTTCTTTATATCCTCAAACTTTGAGGAAAGTCATGGAAATATGGTTCCTACAATAGTAGTCCTATAGGGACTGAGTGATGGAAGGGATGGAATGATGAGTCCTAAGTAGCAAACCTCTCATTGGCAACCAAGTGAGTGGCCAGTCATGTACTTTCTGGTCAGCTTTCCTTCAGCTAAGCAAATAATTCTCAAGTTCTTGAAGCAGAAACAGGATTCCAGCAGCTAGGCACTATTCAAAGTGGGATCCATGAACCAACACCACTGGCATCAGCTAGGATCAGATTAGAAACGCCCCATTTCAGCTCCTTCCCAGAACTACTAAATAGAATCTGAAATTCTAACTAGATCCTCCATATGATCCTTGTGCCTATTAAAGTTTGAGAAGCACTGCTACAATAGTCTTGTCCTGATATCTTGGGACAGTGAAAATTGCAGAAGAAAGACCTCTAACAGGCAATGGCTTTTCCGTTTCAGGATTTCCCGTGATAAAAGTAGATGGCAATCGAGAAGATGGTTCGGTACTTCTGATTTGTGACTCACGAAACACAGATATCAAATGGTTTGAAGACGGGAAGGAAAGAACTTTACCAAAGAAAGATAAAAAGACGTTGGATCTGGGAAGTAGTATGAAGGACCCTCAAGGGATATATCAGTGTCAAGTAGCAAAGAACATTTCAAAGCCACTCCAAGTATATTACAGAAGTATGTAACCCCCTTTGGTCTGCTAGTTGTACAATTAAGCAGTTCTTTCTGTTCTGGTAGGCTTCCTATCCCTGGTGAGTGTGGGAATAGACACTAAACAGTTCTCATTCTCTTTTTTTTTTTTTAAAGATTTTATTTATTTATTCTGAGAGACTCAGAGAGAGAGAGGCAGAGACACAGGCAGAGGGAGAAGCAGGCTCCATGCAGGAAGCCTGATGCGGGACTCAATCCCAGGACTCCAGGATCACACCCTGGGCTGAAGGCAGGCACTAAATCACTGAGCCACCCAGGGATTCCCCAGTTCTCATTTTCTTAATCACAGCTTACCTCTTTTTGAATATAACAAGACAGTTCCCCCGTCTTCTTGGAAAAGCATAACCTGTCCTGTAAAGCCTGGTTTAATTTTGGATAGGCTCTCATGGATCAGAGCAGTCAGCTATTTATATAAGCTAAGTTGGGGTAGCTCGGGGAGATGGAGGAGATGACAAGGTGAGCAGCAATGATATGTAGAAGGCGGCTGACCACAGAGAAGGGGATCTGATCTTCCTCCTATTTCATATGGTCAATGGTCAGACTACATGTTCCCCAGGACAGCTGGGAGATGCAGGGATATCAAGAAGTATTGCATTCTTAGTCCAAGGATCTTCCCCTACCATACCTTGCACAGAGAGAGGAGTCTGCTATCCTAAATAGAAGCATCAGCACTTGTAGGAAAAAGAAAAAGATTCAGAAGAACCACTTTCACACCCTGAAGGAGACTTGTCCCTCTCTTTCCCCATAGTGTGTCAGAACTGCATTGAGCTGAATGCAGGCACTATAACCGGCTTTGTCTTCGCTGAAATCATCAGCATTTTCTTCCTTGCTGTTGGGGTTTACTTCATTGCTGGACAGGATGGAGTTCGCCAGTCAAGAGGTAAAAGAATGTTCTTCAATAAGAGATGGGACTACCTGGGATCCCCAGTTTCTTTCCTACCAAAATTGACCTAATAGAAGAGATGAGGTTGCTCATCTCTTCTATTGCTAATGAGCAATACGACAGTGATATTTTGACAGCATATTTCACGATCCACTTCCCTCTGATTTTCCTGATTCCTCTGATTTTTTTAAAAGATTTTATTTATTTATTCATAGATACACAGAGAGAGAGAGGCAGAGACACAGACAGAAGGAGAAGCAGGCTCCATGCAGGGAGCCCGGTGTGGGACTCGATCCCGGGTCTCCAGGATCACACCCCAGGCTGCAGGCAGCGCCAAACCGCTGCGCCACCGGGTCTGCCCTCCTCTGATTTAAAAAAAAAAAAAAACTCTTTGTTGAACTAAAAACTACATAGAGAAATGTGCATGGATGACAAGCATACGGCTAAACAAGCAAACATACCCATGAATCCAACACCCAGCTTAAGAAAGACAGTATTACCAATACCCTAGAAGTTCCCCCTTGTGGTCAGTTCCAGCCTCTCCACTTATCCCCCAAAGTGAGTACTAGCCTGACTTCTAACAACATTAATTTTTCCTGTTTTCATTCCTTATGTCAATGGACTCATACAGAAGCACTCGTGTGTGTGCTTCTTTTAGTCAAAAACATGCTTGTGAGATCTTTCCACATTGTTGTATGTAAATGTATTTCACTAATTCTTATTGCTATGCAGTGCTCCATTGTGTGACTATAACCCAATTTATTAGCCATTCTACCTCACATATTCCATTTTTTGTGCAGCCTCAGACAAGCAGACTCTGTTGTCCAATGACCAGCTTTACCAGGTAAGGCATGGGGGAATGAAAGAGACATTACTACAATTAATAGTAAAATTTGGGGATGGGGGACATGTCATTTGGAGGCTACTGTACAGGTAAGGAACTACTTAGGGCATACCAGATGATTACATAGTCACACTTTGGGCAGAATGGATGAAATGAAGAGAAGGATTGAGAGAGACTGAGGTCAGGATCCAGTGAGAAAAAGTGGAAGAACACACTGAGAGGGACACACAAAGAAACTGTATACAGAGCCTCCATCCCCCTTGTCCTCTTTCCACCCCGAGGACAGTGAAACACCCACTCCAAAGCCTTGCACGTGGAAAGCATTCAATAACTATGCATCAAGTTAATTCATAGAGAACAAGGGAAAATGAGTTTATGACTGTGCTGTCCTGATTAGCCCCTCAGGGATCGAGAAAATGACCAATATGGCCACCTTCAAGGAAAGCGACTGAGGAAAAATTGAACTCAGGACTCAAAGTAGGTGTGCCCTTCTATACCAATTCTAAGAAATTACCTTTCCTGGGGTTGCCTGGGTGGCTCAGTTGGTTAAATGTCTAATTCTTGACTTCAGCTCAGGTCATGATCTCAGGGTCATGATCTCAGGGTCATGAGATTGAGCCCTGCTCTGGGCTCTGTGCTCAGCTTGGAACATGCTTAAGATTCTCTCCCTCTCCCTCTGCCCACCCCCCACCCTGCACACCTCTGCTTTCTCTCTCTCTTTCTTAAAAATCAGCCTTTCTTTTACTTGCCCTCCCAACTGCTGCCAAGTCTATCTCCATATTCCAAGCCACCATAAGCTTAGGGGAGGGTGGGTAACTTATGGTTCTTTGGGGTGAGGGGACTGTCCTGTGCATTGTACAGTTTTTAGCAGCATCCCTGTCCTCTATCCACCAGATGCTAGTAATACCCTCAGCTGTAACAATCAAAAATATTTCCAGATATTTCAAATGTCTCCTCCGGGGCAAGATCACCATTGGTTCAGAAACACTGACCTATATTAACCTTTCAATCAAACAATTAGTCAGAAGTTCTGATTCAATCAACCAGGAAAAGTTTCTATCAGGAAAACCGGATCAGAGCATTATTTGGTTTTCTGAACCAATCCAATTTTTCTTTTTTTCTCCCTTCTGGATAGTTCTCAGAAACATGGCAGTACGTTTTGGAGCACTCCTAGCAGAGAGATTCTCAGCCCTAAATGTAGAATCAAGTTTTCCAAAGGTGACAAATGGAGAAGAAAGCCCATCAGAGCAAATTTGGATTTTTCTCGAAATAAAATAAACAAAAAGTAAAAATATGTATGGTGTTGCAGGAGCGCCACCTATTGGAAGGTAATTTTCTGTAAAAAAAATTGAAAAGGTCGATAACCCCTCTATTTGAATATTATTTTTTAAAGTTCTAATTTTTATTTACTTTTTGTATAGGTCATAATTTACATGGTTTAAATATGCAATAAAAGGTCTCCCTTCACCTCCATCCCCAGCCATTCAGTTGCCGTCTCCAGAGACAAACAATATACTAGTTTCTTTATAAGATATATAAGGTATTATAAATCAGAGGTATTCTAGGCATACATAAGCAAACTCTTAGGTACACATTATTCTTCCTTTCCCTATTTTTCACACAAATAGTATCATAACATACATCTTGCACTTTTCACCTAATAAAATATTAAGATTATTTCATACCAGTAAGTAAAAGGAGCACCTTTCTTTTTTTTTAACCCAGCCACATTGTGGACTTGCTATGATTTATTTAATCAGTCCTCTATTGATGGACAAAATATTGCTGCCAATATTTTGCTCCTACAATGCTGCAATGACATTATATAAACGTCATTTTAAAAATAATTGTATTGAGGTATAATTTACATGCTATAAAATTCACCATTTTAAGCAATTTCCACTATTCTTAGTAAGTCTTACAAAATGTACCCAGTTGTACAATCACCATAACCCAGTATTAGACATTGCCATTACCCTCTTAAGAGTACATTCCCTGTTCCTACCCTCAGTCCCAGACAACCACTAATCTCTTTTCTGTCTTATCAGGTTTGCCTTTTTTGCCTGTTTCATATAAATGGAATTATACAATATGCTGTAGTTATGCAATGTGCTGGACATTCTTCTTATGCTAATCTTTATGTGGATCCATGTCTTCATTTCTCTGGGATTGACACCTGGGAGTGAAGAATTGTTGGGTTGTATGGTAAATTTATGTTTGACTTTTTAAGAAACTCCCTGTAACATTTTATATTCCCGGTAGTAATGGTTGAGAGTTTCTGTTTCTCCACATTCTCACCAATATTTGTTACTATATTTTTTTTAGTACAGCCATTCTCCGAGGCATAAAATGGCATCTTATGCTACCTTTATCTAAAAAGAATTTTTAAAGATAATTATTGTACTTTAATTTGTATTTCCCTAATAACTAATGTTGTTGAACACCTTTTCATGTGCTTATAAGCCATTATTATATCTTTAGTGAAATGTCTATTTAAATCTTTTTTTTAATTTGGGTTGTCTTACTGTTGAATTGAAAAAGTTATTCTATATTTTGAATACAAGTCCTTTATTATGTATATGATTTACAAATGCATTACCAGTCTGTGGCTTTTCTTTTCATTCTTTTCATGGTGACTTTTGAAGCACAAAAATTTTTAATTTCTATGAAGTCCATTTTATCCATTTTTTTCTTTTATGGATTGTGCTTTTGGTATCATGTCTAAGAAATCTTTGGCAAACCCAGGGTCATGACGATTTCTCCAATGTCTCCTTTTTATAGTTTTTAAACTTCCATAGTTTTAGTTCTGACAAACGTCATTTAGAATATACTTAGGACTATTTAAAACAAATATAAATAAATGATACTTGGGAGCCATAATGTATTTGCACTTGTAATTTTATTAAATATTGCCAAATTGCACTTCATGGAGGTTGGACTAGTGTTTACTCCCAATAACAATAATTGAGAGTGCCTTTTACTCCATACTTTTTGAACTTTGCCGATTTCATAAGTTAAAAATGACATCTCAGTATAGTTTTAATTTACATTTTCCTTATCAAAAATGGAAGTGAGGACATCTGAGTGGCTCAGTAGTTGAGCATCTGCCTTTGGCTCAAGGTGTGATCCCAGGGCCCAGGGATCGAGTCCCGCATCAGGCTTCCTGAGAGGAGCCTGCTTTTCCCTCTGCCTATGTCTCTGCCTCTCTCTGTGTGTCTCTCATGAATAAATAAAATATTTTTTAAAATAAAAATAATAATGGAAGTGAATCATGTATTTCTCCTTCTCAGGATATATAGGCTCATATCCCTTTATCTTATTGACTTGCAACAGCACTTTGCGTATGTGGGAAACTAGATTTTTTGTTTGTGATATTAGTTGCAGATATTTTTCCAATTTTGGTATTTGTTCTTTGACTTCATGATGGTTGGTTTTCTGTCCACATTTTAATTATCTGAGTATAGCAGAATCTGTATCTGCATGCAGTAGAATTCATTGATCTTTTATGGCTTGTAGGTTGTTTCCTATTTAGAAAGGTCTTCTCCATTTTAAGATTATTCTTTTTAAAAAGTTTTCCTATGAATTCCTCTGACACTTTAATGGTTTCGTTTTATACATTTAAATGAATTATTCATCTTGAATTAATTCTAATGTAAAGGTCTAACACATTGACTAACTTTAACACCACATAGCTACCCAGTTATTCTAGAACAATTTTTTGAATGATCCATCTTGTGCCCATTGATTTTAAATGGAGTTGCCACTCCACTCTCACCAGACTGTAAGCTCCAGGAAAGAAAAGACTTACATATTTTTACTAATGTATTTTCAGAAACTAGTATCATGCTGGAACAAGATATACATTTAAAAATTGCACAGCACTCTGTGTGTGTATGTGTTTGTGGAGAAATATACATAACATGCAATTTGTCATTTTAAACATTTTAAGTGTACTATTCAGTGGCATTAAGTACATAGACAATATTATGCAACCATCACCACTATCCATTTCAAAAACTTTTTTCATCATCTTGACCTCTGTACCCATTAAACAATAATTCCCCATTCTTCCCTTCCCCCAGCCCCTGGTAACCTCTATTCTACTTTTCTATCCCTATTAATTTGCTTATTCTAGGTACCACATATAAGTGGAATCATACAATATTTGTTCTTTTGTGTCCTGCTTTTTTTTACGTAACATAATGTTTTCAAGGTTTATCCATGTTGTAGTATGTATTAGAATTTCAGCCTTTTTAAGGCTAAATAATAGTCAAGTGTATGTATATACTACATTTTATGTATTTATTCATTTGTCAGTGCACATTTTGCATTGTTCCCCCTTTTTGGCTATTCTACATAACGTTATGAACATTGGTGTACAAGTATCTGAGTTCCTGCCTTCAATTCTTTGTGGTGCATACCCAGAAGTGGAATTGCTGTATCACTTGGTAATTCTATATGTAACTATTTGAGGAACCACCAAAATTTTCCCAAAATGTTGCACTATTTTACATTCCCATCAGCAATGCTCAAGGGTTCCTAGCTCTCCTTCTCTTCGCCAACACTTTTCCTTTTTTTTTTTTATAATAAACTTCCAAAAGGATGTGAGGTATTATTTCATTGGAAGTTTCGATTTGCATTTCTGTAATGATTAGTGACATTGAGCATCTTTTCGTGTGCTTATTGGCCATTTGTGTATCTTCCTTGGAGGGATGTCTATTCAAGTTCATCGCCCATTTTTGAACCACACTGTGTGGTTTTTTTGGTTGTTGTTGAGCTGTAGAAGTTCTTTACATGTTTTGGACATTAATCCTTTATCAGACATAGGATTTTACAAATATTTTGCCTCATTCTATGAATTCTCTTGAAAAGTGCGCTGCTTTCGCTGCCTTTGTGTACCTCAACGTAACCTTGGAGCATGCATGATGTCCCCACGTTACAAATAAGAAAACTGAAATCCAAAGCTAGCATTACCTTAGCACCCTGCCTTGACACCCAATAAGAGCTCAAAGCTTTGTTATTGTTATTGCTGTTGTCATTGCCTCATGGATAATAATAATCTATGAAAAGTAACAGAAGCTGCTTCAAAAAGGCACGACACTGCTGGGGAAGATAGAAAGCAAAAGCCCACAGAGGTTGCCAGCAGCGCCAAGGATCACCAAGTCCCACCCGCCAGGGAGACACACCAGACTTCAAACCCGCCTCTTACTTCACCCAGCTCCAGCCAAACCCCGCCCCCGCCCCGTCCCCGCCCCGTCCCCGCCCCGTCCCCGCCCCGTCCCCAAGGCCACTTCCGCCCCGCCCAGCTGTCTAGCGCGTGCGCCGTGGAGGTGTTTGCGCGCTAGTTCCTCGCGCAGAGCCGCGCGCCCTGCTTCCGGCACCCGGATGAGGTTCTATGAGGCCCGGCGCCTGGTCATGACGTAAGTTCCGGTTGCCGTGCTGAGTCGGAAGTGGGAACCCTTCGGCCACTGAGACTCTTGTCGTGTCGTCGCTGGTGGCCCTTCAGGCTCTGGTAAGAGGAAGTAGCTTGACGGGAGGGGATCGTTGAATCCGCGATGGGATTTTCTTCTCCTGGTTGAATGCCACTCCAGGCCTCTGCACTCTTGCCTCCACGTTCCTTCTGTGTTTTCCTGACCCTTGACCCTCTCCTTCATGAACTTTGACCCTGTCTGATTTGGGATCTGGTTAAGGTGCCCCAGTTTCTGGCATCATCGCTCCCCCTTTTGCCCATTGCTCCCCGGGAAAAGGCCAGAACACTGGCCTTGCGTTGTCTTTGACTTCCTTTCTCTGGAACGAGCGCGGAGTGGGTGGGTCTCCCTTGCCGCGGATCCCTTATGGAACCTGGGGAGGTGAAATGCGAAGCATAGACAACCAATAGCCGGATGCCAGGGAGGGGAGAATTAACCACCAGTCGCAGCAACCCAACAAGTTGAATACATACGGCAAGATATTGACATTTCTTATGGCACGTGATCAGGTCGCTACTCAAAACTCTTTTGGCTCCGTGCTTCGTGCACCCTACACCAATAGGGTGTAGAAGACGCTAATAAGATTGAGTAACCGCAGCTCCGGAGCTTGTATTTGAAAGGTCGTGTCTTTGGGATCAGTTTTCCGCTCACAGAGCAAGGATACGTTTAGTTTCGCTGCTTTGGTGTCACCTGGGAACCCTCCTGAGACGCATGGGGGACCCAGGAAAGAATGCTATCGGCTTTTTGACTTGATGTGAGATCCTTCTTGCTCGCTCGTGTGTTGTTAGGATCTGTTGCCACTTCAGCGGGACCTGAAAGAATTTCGGGGGTGGAGCATATAACAGTGAAAAACATTTTAATTCTTGTTTGATTTAATGTCTCACTAGGAGAGAGACCTTTAAAAAGTATGATTTAATAGAGCTTGGTTTTTGCCAACCCAGTTTTACAAAGTATTCTACATATTTCTGTTTAAAAGAATATGTAGGATATTCTTTTAAATTTGCAATACAAGGGGCACCTGAGTGGCTCAGTGGTTGAGCATCTGCCTTTGGCTCAGGTAAATAAATAAACAAACTTTTTAAAGAAAATTAATTTGCAACACCAAGTCTGATGTCAAAACATTTGTGGGCGTGGCTTTTTAAGTTGACAGTTGATCCTTAGGGATTAGCAGTGCTGTTCATAAACAAAAGATTGAATTCGGATGGGGGCGGTGTGAGGGGATTTTGTAGGACTGGAGGTAAATAGCTATTGTAGATGTAGACCCTTGCAGTGAGTATATCAGAGTGAAATGTGTTTTTAAGTAGGACATATTAAAAGGAATCAAATCCAGGGTGCCTGGGTGGCTCAGTCAGTTAAGTGTCTGACATCGACTCAGGTCATGATCTCGGGGTCCAGGGATTTGGCCCCCATTTGGGGTCCCTGCTCAAGGAGTGTGTGCTTTCTCCCTATGGAGAGAGCAGGGACATAGGGAGAGGGAGACTAATTGAATGCCACTCCCTTTCCCTATACCCCTCCTACCCCTTTCCTCACTTGTGTGCGCTCTCTCAAATAAATAAATAAAATCTTAAAAAAAAAAAAAAGGAATCAAATCCAAAAGCTCCTAAGGATTGATGGAGGCACCATCCCAAAGGCTAACAACAGAATGGTGTTGTATCTCTGTATGGCAGTTGAAAATAGAAGATTATAAATAATCAGTGACATTGAATATGAAAACAAAATATCAGGGCTCCGTTTTCTCAGACCTCTTGGAGTGGGTGATATCTAGGTACTCTTACATTTGTGAAAGCATTGAACATATCTAAACTGACATCTCTACAAAGGTTTCCATCAGGTGATCTTTTGTCCCTTTTCTTTTTTTTTTTTTTCTTTTTTATGATAGTCACAGAGAGAGAGAGAGAGAGGCAGAGACATAGGCAGAGGGAGAAGCAGGCTCCATGCACGGGAGCCCGACATGGGATTCGATCCCGGGTCT